TCTAAGCTCCTGTGTAACTTATTCCTGATTTTTACAGTAACGTATGTTTGTTTCCATAGCTGCTCGTGACCAGGCACAGAAGGTGTATAAAGAGGCAACAGAAAATATTGTGTCTGTTCGTCAGCAAGCTATGGTATGTCACTGAATTCCCCACTTAGAGCCTTTGCCCCTTTTGAGCTTTATAACACAGTTCAGGGTGAAACCCTGAGCCCTGTAACACTGAAATACCTGAATGACAGTCTTCTGATAGCGGTTCTGTGGTTCTGCTCTGTGTGTAGCAACGGGCCCCTAGCAACTGTGCTGTGCAAATCTTCGCATCCCTCCATATCTTCAGTAGGGAATGTTTTCCACTGCTGCACCTCGCTGCTCCTCACTTGCGTAGATTCCCCCAAACCTGCCTGTGGGGCCACAGCAGATCTCAGCCTCTCATATCCTGTGAAATGCCAACTTGGCTTTTCATATGAAAAGTCCTTGCTGTGAGGGGGAAAAAAAAAAAAAGGCAGTTTAGACCCAAAGAAGAGCACAGTGCTTTCTCCCCACACTGTTATTGGCACAGGCAATAGCTGTCACTGGGGTCTAGGTCCGTTGGGCAGTTCATCTGCATGCAGGTGTTCATGCCTACACAGAGATGTTTCATTCTCCTTTCCTGAACTTGTCCTTGTTTCTATTCTGTGGGTTGCTTTCACAGCAGGAACAAGCTAATAAGAAGAGGGAGAGGGTCATGAGTGAAACGGGAACAGAGTTGCCAAAACAAGAGAAAAAACGGCCAAAAGCCTCCCAGCAACCAGAGGAGCTGGAAGCACCGAAGCAGTTTACCCCCTTTGATTACAGCAAGTCCAACTTCAAAGTGTTTGCGGGTAAGATCTGGATCTCTTGCGAGACTGCTGCAGGCAGTGGAAAATGTTGCCAGCCGAGCCCTGAGAAGGCTGTATGTGAATGTAGGTGCCAAGGCAGTACAAACTATTACAATGCACTTACCTTTCAGTGGGGGAATACTAAAAGAAATTAACTTCGGGAATGTACAGTTCGGCATCCCTTTTCTGATGTGGAAACAAAATCCTGAAACCATCAGCCAAGGGGATTGTTGATTCGGATTTTTCTCTGTAGAGAAAGTCATCTGTTTAATTGGACCCCAGGAGCTAGGAGGCAAAGGAGATTTGACTCCTTTGTAATAAGGATTTATTGAAAAGCGTCTCCTGCCCTTAAGAGACTGTTCTGGTTTTTAGCATGTGGGAGACAGCAGTGAAAGCTCCTTATCATCAGAGGAACACCGTGGAATGTACTGTTCTTTCTGGAAAATTTTAGTGACAGCTTCTCTCCTCTCTCCCTTAGGAAGCAGTAAACCGAAGCAGTCTCCACAATTTGATCCTGCCAAGCAAGCTTACGCAGGCAAGGTATGGGTATGTCATGAAGGAAGGAAAAGAAATGTTGGTGATAGCATGTACCCAGCTGGGGACTTGCTGGGGAAGGCAGATGACTCTTTCTGGATCTGCAGAATGTTCCCTAACAGCACTTGGTACTGAGGTGCAGCTTTCAATCATGAGCTCATACTTTGTATTATAGCCTCTTCCCATTCAGGAAGAGCTTTCTTGGGGCCCCTCAGACTCTCTTGTTGTTTTCCCAGCTCTTCATACATTGTTCACACCTACGTTGCCGTACATCACAGGCACGACGCTTAGACCGCAGCACAACACCACAAATTCCCCATACCAAATTCAAGGCACTCTCAAAAACCTCAAAGTCAGTCTGGTTATTCTAAGCCATGACAGGTCTGCGTGTTGCCCACATTCTCCAACAAGTACTGTCATTGGGAAAACAGTCTCAGAGAAATTTTATCTAATTTATTGCTAATTGAGAATGAGAGATTGAAGAGAAGAAAGAAAACATAAGCAGTCAAACATGTACTTAGGGAAACCTGTGACCAGCACAGGGCAGTTCCTGTGTTGTCGTGTCGCCTCACCCCATGTCACCACTGCAGACCTGGGTTGCCTAAAAGCTGCCGTGTATACCCTGCATGTATAGCCTGCTCCTCCTCAGGTGTGGAGTGTTCGGGTGCTGATGTGTGACATCAGTGGGCGTTTGGGCATGAAGTAATAGGGTGCCCATGCGTGAACTCATTGGGCGCTTGAGCGTTAATTTTAAGTTCTGAAGCTCGTTTCTTGCATTTCAGCCTCTCTGCTGTGCATGTTGCCTTCCTGCATATTTAACTGCAGGGCAAATGGTACCAGGCATCTTAGATATTCATTAAAAATCGTATTGTAGAAGCTGAACAAGTTTATGCCTGATAGTGTAGGAAACCGTTTCTTGTGCAGTCTTTTTGTTGTGTCAGTTAAAACATGTTTCAGGGAAAAAAAAAACGATGGGTGAATTTGGGACAACCTGTACAGATCTTTCTGTCTAGAGGGGTAGGATTTGCCATCAGTGGGGTATTGTGCCTCACATGTCAAGGTTAGACCGGTAGAGCAGCACTTACTCAAATGCATTCAGTGCATGGTGCATATCAATAGTCGTAAAACATAAAGCTCACGGTCTAAACGAGCAGTGTTCCCTGAAGTTGGAGGGACCTGACAGCACGTGAATCTCATGGAATATACTGTATTTGGCAGGTACCTCAGTGTGGTGGTGGTGTGTTTTGTTTTGTTTTTATTTTTTTTTCTTCTGTGCAGAAATTAGCTGGGGCTAACAAACTTCAACAGTCTGGAAACCGAAGCATGTCGTACCTGGCGGGGAAAGCTGAGAGGTGTGTTGTCAGCCCGATCTCATCGGATGGTTTTCACGCCTTTGCCCCGCAGCTATGGGCAAAGCGTAGCTATTGTCCTCTGTTGCTGTGGGAGCATAAGCACATGTTTAATGGGAAGAGGTTGCGTCACAGCTTGACGTCAGTTTAAGGGACAAAAAAAAAATAAAAAAGCTTAGTCAGGATTAATGCAATCAAAGACAATTCTGGCTGGAAGGTTTGAAATGCTGAGGTAAAAGTTTGTATTAATAGATGTGGGAGTTGCTTTCTTGGCCAAAAAGATGGGTAGAGGTGGGGAGAACGTTTGCCCAGCTTGGGAGGAAGATAAATAACAGTACTGCCAAATATGAACATTCTTGTTCTGAATAGATATTTAATGTGTAACTTAGGAGGCTTGATCCTTCTGTACTATTCAGCCATAAATGAGCAACACTACATACGGGCAGCATTGGAGGGAGAAGGGTTCTGTCTGTACCATGATGCTTTCTCAGTAGAATCTTTGTAACCTATCAACCTAGGTTTTCAGTCTTGAGTGATTTTAGAGCAAGAGTTAAAGTCTGTCTGTAACTGTCTTTTGCAGGGGTTCCAGGCACCACTGGCCAAAGAGATAGGCCTTGTTGCAGGACCTGTGGGAGTTGCTGCTGAACAAAACAATAGTCAGAAGTATTGTCACCATGGGAAGGCAAATACCAGTCATTGAGCAGTTTTTGTACAGAAATGTTTTTAAAGCCATTAAAATCCCTTTTTTCCAAAAGGAAAAACATCTTAATTGATTTCACTTTTATTATATTCACATTGGGTTTTTTTCTAATTATACTCACAATGTTGCTTTGTTTCTAATTTTGAAAGTTTGTCCTGTGTCCTCAAACACAGTTAACTTGTCACTTCTTGGAGTTGCTTGAAGTCCAGAACCAGCATGTCAGTGGAGTATGAGAGGAACCTCTTGGCGTCTCTAAAGCCAGCACAAAAATAATAGACTGAGTAGATGTGACTGAAACCCCAGCAGTCCGGAGGAGGAAATAAGGCCAGGCTGTCTTTTATGTTAGACCTTGCTTACGAATTGGACTGCACAGCTCATCTCTTACAAGACAAGGTAATACGAAAACTGAGTGTGTTTACCTAGCAGTGTTGGTGTATGTTTAAGCAAAGATTTTAAGGAGAAAAAAGAGTTAGGGTACTTTTTGGATCAGAGACCAGTGGTTTCACCCCAGAGTTACAGAGTGAAAGCAACAGCATTAGGTAGAAGGTAAAAACACAGAGTGCAATACTGGGTTGGGGAAAGGCAGTGAGGTTCTGTGCTGCAGCTGCATCTCCATACAGCTATGCTAACGTTTCATAGTTTTAAATACCCACAGTGAGTTACCCTGGAGTCTTTGTAGAGAGAGTATCAGCCCAGAATTTGATGGATGGATGGCAGAGCTTATGCTAAATGCTGGCAACAAGGCTGTAATACTGCTGTGAGAGAGGTAAGCAGCATTTAACAGTGGGGAGTATGGAAGGGTAGGGCTGACGGGACTTTGCTTGAAGCCACACTAAATCAGTGGCAGAGCTGCCTCCTGGATTACTGGTGGCTGTGCTGACCCATGGCTCTTGATCCCTTTCCCAATGGCCTTGTCTTTGCCCTGTGATTTCCTTTTCTAAGGATTTCATACTCACCTGTTTGGCAATGATAGAATTTCTTTCTCTCTAGGTGCAAGGACTGAGTGGGTAGCAGTAAAAACTTCCTTCTCCATCCCTAACCCAAGGGCTTTATTTTACAAAGACTGTGAGGAGGTTTGGGATTTGCTTGTTTGTTTGTTTTCAACCTTTTCACGTATTTCTGGGGAGTAGGGAGTTGAAGGAACAGAGGAGGGCTTTTCCTTCTTAGGTATCTTAGTGCAAGCAGTGCTGACCAAGCACCATTGTAATGGTAGAACAGAGTCCCTTTCTGCTCATAAAATCTGCTTGTTTGGCTGAATATTGGGGAATGTTTTTGAAAAGAGGCAGTTAAATAGCAATTGTCTCTAAGTGCATTTGCCAGTTCCCCTTCTTGTGAGCTTTACTGCTTCTGATACTTCTGTGACTTGAAGGACAAGTAACTCTAACTGAAAGCCCCATTGGCTGTGGAGACATTAAAATTTCTGTAGTTTCCTTAAGTCTGCTACTTAAAATTCTGTGCAAGGTGACATTTCAAGGACGATCGTAATTTTAGTCCGTTTCTGCTTTCCCTTAATGAGCTGCGGCTTTACCGCCGTAGGTTTTAAAAATGCCTTTAATGGAAGCGATGGGCACATCCCTGCGTGCTTTATTCACCTGGGTACACCTCCGGCTCGGACGGGGTTGTAGCCCCGGAATCCCGCGATCTGAGACTGTTTGAGGTTGTTGAGGCTCTTTGCGTGACGCGCGCGGGGAGCTCCCGCTGTAACCTTGGGGGGGTCTCCCCCGCCTGCTCCTCGCAGCACCTTTTGTAACGCTTCCGGGTGCGCGCCAGGGCGGAACGGAATCTGCTTTCAGAACATCCAAACGCGACTTTTTTCCCTAAAAAAAAAAAATAAAAAAAAAAAAATGAATCTGTATCATTCCCATCAAACACTGAGAGCCCTACCATATCACTGCACTATATTATTAATGGATGGAGATGAATTGCTTGATGTTGCAATTAAATTGGGGACAGTGTTTCATTGATCTGTGAAAAGCAAAACACTTAAAAAGGCAACAAACTGCACCTCCAAGACAGAAGAAACAACTCTGTTCCTAGGAAAGTTTGTCTCTGACCTCTTGGATACATAGTAAAGGGTAAGCCTAAAACATCTGCTGCAAGATAGGCTTCAGAGAAATCTAATTAACACGGTGCCCAGGAATGATGAGAGCAGATGTATCCTGGATAAAGTCACTGACAGGAGATCACTTTGTTATGCCAACACAATTTTAGCTTGGAAAGAAAAAGGTTTGGAAAAGTCTTCATTGAAAAATCATGTAAGATTTAAGTGACAAGTTACAGCAAAGGAGAAAGAGAATCACATCTCATATTTTAAAAAAAAAAAAAAATTATATGAGAGAAAAAAGCTGAAAGGAGGCATCCCATCCTTACTTACTGTAGACCTTGCAACTGTGAAGGGCAATAAACTAAAAATTGGCTGGAGATATCCTAGTGAACAGACTAGTGCACTGAGCTGATATGAGTATTTTAGAGCCTGCTGATGGTGTTGGCTGCGATTAAAGCCCAAAATAACGGCCTCAAAATAGCGAGAGCAGGTACCAGTGTCTTTTCTGCTTGCATTCAGCAGCAAACCAAGCTGAAAAACAGCTTGGAATCTGCATGACTTCATTGCTAACATTGTTCAGGATAAGATCACGGCAATCTACAATAAACTGCTCTGTCACCTAAACAAGAATGAATCCAGTGCTTTCTTTTTTTTTTTTCTTTTTTTTTTTTTTTTAAATAGGACGAGCCCGGAGGGCTGCTGGGCTTCAAGCCGTTCTCTTTAGGCCTCGCCGTCAAAGTTCCCCCCGTGAGCCGACCCTGCTGACGGCCCGTTTTCTGCCCTCTCCTCTCCCAGGTGCTGATCATCGGTGGCGGCGACGGGGGAGTGCTGCGAGAGGTGGTGAAACACCCGACCGTGGAGTCCGTGGTGCAGTGCGAAATCGATGAGGTGCGTTGGGGTCCCCAGCTGCGTGGAAGTGCGCCAGGGCTTCGGTCAGACGGGCAGGCTGCCCAACCAAAAGCAGCCCCTACTTCACAGCATCCACGGGAGCTGCTGCTTCACCTGCTGTCCCTTGTCAGCAGCGAGTGCGTTTGCTGCCGGTTCTGCTGGCGTGACACTGACAGCGCCACCTCTTTGCCTTACGAGTCATCTACGTGGCAGCTGGCTGCCTCTTTCATGTGATTCCTTTCACACACGTAGGGTAGGGCCCTTCCAGGCCAGCGTGGGCCAAGCGTGGGATTGGGAGGAGGAGAGCACTGGCTTTGTGAAGGTGCTGCTTTCCCCTTTCCCCCCGATGCAGAACAGAGCGCTGCTCCTGCCAGAGGAGGATGGTGGCTTTGTTAAGCAGTCTCCTGCGACTGAAAGCAGGAAATAAGCGGGGAGTATTTGTTTCCGTGATAGATGGGCTGGTCCTCCTTCTCTCGGTCAGTTTGTGCAGATATTTTACTTTCTTAGAAAGTTTTGCTGTCTCCTCAAAGCGAAGTTGTATTAGGAATGGGAATTGCTGCTATATGAGACTTTGGACCCAGGCTGCCAAGCTAAGTAGGCATATGTGTCTGGTTTTGAACAAGCACTGCCTGACACCAGCATATTTTTTTGTCTCTGCCAGCTGTGAGAAGCTGGTAGTGTTCAGTACAATTGCTGGGCCTAGGGCAGCAGCTGTCTAACCATTTTAGAGAGAAAACTGTATCTTATGGGGAGATTGATAAAATGACTGTAGAGCAGAGGTGGGGATATTTCTTATCTTGCATCCAGAAACCTGCTGGCATGGTTTTATTTAGGAAGAAAAAAAAAAAAAAAAAGTCTTTGGCTGAGATCACCTCTGCAAGTGGTGTCTGCAGGGAAAAGGAGCACAGAGAAGTCAGATCCGTAATCATATTCTCTTAGTTCCTCAGGGAACTTCTGAAGCTCCAAGTTCTTCTTGTTGAGTTTGGCAAGGACAGACCAACAGTGGCACTGAACCCTGAGGCCATAGGAAAGGGCTGAGTGTAGCTTGTTGGCTGAAGATGCTGACAGCTCTTGAGGATCTAGCTAGCGAGTTGGATTTGTGCTGAAGGCATGGAAGGAAATGACTCATTGTGCTGTTCTTTCAGCTGCAGCTGCACAGTAGCCTGAGAAGGAGCTCCTTGTAGCCCCCGCTGACCCACTTGTGCTCTCTCTGTTGCAGGATGTGATCCAGGTATCTAAGAAATACCTCCCAGGGATGGCAGTGGGGTACTCCAGCGCTAAGCTCACCTTGCATGTGGGAGATGGTTTTGAGTTCATGAAACAAAATCAAGAAGCCTTTGATGTGATTATCACAGACTCATCTGACCCCATGGGTAAGAATTCTGGCTGTAAAAGGATACTGCTTTCCACACTCCTCCTCCTTTTCTCTTCTGCCTCCCTCTTGGAAGTAATGCCAGCCTGCCAAGGCTCCTTTCAAGTGAAAAGATTGTCACTGACTTGGTCCTTTTGGTAGAGAAAGGGAAGGATGAAGACCAGAAAATTGTATTACCAAGCCTTCAAGCCAGCTGTCACATTTCTTTCCTCAAAGTTCAACTCCAGCAGCTATTGCTTCTGGCAGAGTTGATCCTTTAGTCCAGCAATCCCATGGGATACAGCACCATGCTGGTGAAGACAGCTTTGCACATGTGGCCACTAATGAAGCAGTGGCTTACACGCTGATGGTGTAGCTACCTAGCCTAAAGATGGCTGTAGTGAGGTTGCTGTATTTCTGAAGGGGAAAACTTAGGTAGAAGAGGGACCAAATGTCGTTATGGTGCCTCATTTTAGGGACCTAACAATGAGTGCCTGAGTCACCTTCGCTGTTGCTATAGTCAACACAGAGAGAGGCATCTTTAAAAGGCAGTTTAGAGCAGAAATTCAGTTTAAAAAATGCTTGCTGAAGCAAGAGGCAGCTGCTAGGACTTTCTTTGATAAAGGGCTTGGGCTTGTTATTGAGCAAAGTTAAAATCTGGATGGTTCTGCTGTTCTAGGTGCAGGCTGGGGTTCACACAGGGTCAAAACATTTTTGCTGTGATCACTGAAAAGCCATTTGAAGTGTCTTTTTTCCAGCGCAGTCCCTGTGCAGCCTGGGCATTTGGAAAACTCTCAGAAGCCCACCATCTTAGCCTCTCTCTAGACACATCTCTTTACTCACTTTTCTCACAGGTCCTGCAGAAAGCTTATTCAAAGAATCTTACTACCAGCTGATGAAGACAGCCCTGCGAGAAGATGGGATTCTTTGCTGCCAAGGTGAGGAGACATGACGCAGGGAGTGAAATTTATTTCAGCTCCCAGGTACAGGAGCAGTTTTGATCTGTATACGTCAACTCGTTAACTGCTGGACTGCACTTAGTAAAACTGGCATAAGGGTCTTATCTCACCACGTGAGCTGCACAGAGTAGAGCAGGTTTGGACTTGGAACCACTGTTAACCTGGCACAGGCCTGTGCAGAGAAGAGGGGCAGCTCTCACCTTGCATCCTGTCTTCCTTTCTCCCTGTAGGTGAGTGCCAGTGGCTGCACCTGGATCTCATTAAGGAGATGCGTCAGTTCTGCAAGTCTCTGTTCCCTGTTGTGGAATACGCCTATTGCACCATCCCCACATATCCCAGCGGGCAGATTGGCTTCATGCTCTGCAGCAAGAACCCGGTGAGTTTCAGGCACCTGAAGTGCCCTTTTCCACTCCCTAAAGCACCGCAGAGCCTGCCTCAGGCTGTCCCTTACAGAGCCTGAGCTGTGGCACTGAGCTCTCCCAGTTGTGGGGCCTCAAGACTCTTGCTGGGGCCCAGCTCCGCCAGCTCAGGGCCCCAGAGCTGCAGCGCAGCTTGCTCAGTGCTGAATGAAGTGTAGAATTGGCCAGTAATGTAACCAGTTGCCTTAGAAAATGACATGGTTTTCTCTCTAGTACAACCAAATTTGGAAGGGAGGCAGCCACTACCAATTTCCAGAGCCTGTTAAGGCTTTGGCTTATTGATGCTGGCTGTTATAAAGTGGGCACCTGCTTGATAAGAATCAGCTTGCAGCTGGTAATCTGCTTCTACAGAGGCCTCCAAGTGAGAGTCAGTGTTAGGATGTGCGCTGGTACCTCTGTGTCAGATCACTGACGTTTGCTCTCTTCCCAATCTGCTGCATTACAGCAACTCTGTGATGCAGCTGTCACACTGGTTTAGGGAGCCAGCAGCACTGCTGCTGCTGTATTTGATTTATTTGGGGCGCTGGCAGCATGCGCTGTTCCTGACTTAACGCAGATGTGGATTCTGCTCCGAAGAGCAAAAGCCTTGCTTCTTCGATGCTCAGGCACAATCTGACAGCTTCATCTGGCACATGGCTCACACGCAGTCTGACCTCATGCGCTGACATCTGTGAATAAGGGCTAGTCACATGAGGTACGCAGTGTAAACTCCAGCCCTCGGGGCTGGAGCTGCGCAGAACCTTTGACCTCATAGTAGAACAGAAAGTCATCTGTTTTCCTCCGAGTCCTCTTGGTTCTCTGCCACGAATCAGGATGCTTGTCACACAGCCTTTTGCACGTTACCCAAACACTACAGAGCTACCTGGCTTCTTTATTGCAGAACACAAATTTCCGGGAGCCTGTGCAGCAGCTCTCACAGCAACAAGTAGAGGAGAGGAGTCTGAAATACTACAACTCTGACATTCATCGGGCAGCTTTCGTTCTGCCAGAGTTTGCACGGAAGGTAAGCAAGGCTGCGTGGCTATTCCTCCATCAAGGATGAGGTATGACTTTTCTTCAGCAGGGGTGGGAGTATACAGGACTGAGGATTTCCTGCAGCCCTAAAGGCTTCTGTGGGCAAGTCAGAGCAGGACAGCGTTTTGTATGACATAGCAGAGTATGAGTCAGTCTGGGAAGACGGGAGTTCAGTTTGGAACTGTTCTTTGGTGTGATGTCCCATGCCTTGATGGCAGATCACTCCTACTTCACCTACCAAAACTAAGCCCAAGAGCCTGCAGAACTGGTGCTTCCCATTGGAAAGCTCCAAAAGTCTTAGATAAAATGTGGTTGTGGTTTCTAGCGCAAACCAGAGGGTAAAGAAAAGATGCTGTAGCATAGTTCAGTCTGCCTTGTTGAAGGATAGTCTATTTCTGCATCGTTCCGTCATCTCTTAACTGGGTTGCAACTGCATGTTCCAGAAGAAACATCCTCAGAGTGTCCTAGGGGTGAAGGCAAATGCCATGGTTGTGTTTCAGAGCCGTATTTCTGTTGATTGGTAAAGCTGCTGCAGGTCCATCCTGAGACTTTGTTGTTTTCGGCTGTCTCCAGGCCCTGAGCGATGTGTGAGACTGAGAAGCTGCTTCCTTCCTTCAAGTTGGACCCTGAGATCGTCAGTGATGTGGTGGGGACCTTCCCAGCAGACTGCAGATTTGCTCTCCACTGTGTGGGATTGTTTAACCCTTTGCCAGCCAACATTCCCTTTGATGATGTGTTAAAGATGATGGGGCATAAGCCAGATAAGACTATTGAAAAGGTCCAGTGACTTATTGTGTGAGGTCAAAACTGTTCTTTCCAAGTGCTGGAAACGTAAGATGTCTTTTTCCTTTCTCTCCTCCCTGTACCCATGCTAAATTCTCCCCTCCCTGCGCCCCCCTCCCACCACTGCCCCCTGCAACTGACATGATATATTTATAACTGACACGTATTTCTGTCTGGTGATCTTCTGAAGCCTGGGAAGAGTCCAGAAGGGTCACTGACTCAGCCTTAAGCACAGAGAGTGAGAGCTTTGTGCGCAAAGTTAGCTTGCTCTCTCCTAATAGGAGCTCCCTGCTGCTGAGACATTTTGACTGGTAATGGGTCTGAGCCTTCATGTCCCACTGCCCTTCTGTGACACATGCACTGTTCTGCAGCACAGTTGGAGAAGTCACAGTGCAAACTGTTGCCATTCACAATAGGTCTCCCTCCAACCCTGATGGAGTAGCAGTATTAAACACCAGCCAGGCAGGCTGGCAGCAAAGTCTTGTGGCTTTTTTTTTTTTTTAAATTGGTTGGAAACAGAAGTGCTGAGGTGCCAACGGGCTAATGCCTGTTCTTACCTTTGCCGTCAGAGTGGTTCCAAAGAATGTTTATCAATATGGTGATAGGCGCTTTATATATAAAAATATAAATATAAATATATATATATAAAAAACAAACCTTAGATCCATTGCCTGCTGTGAAGTACTGATGTTGGGGAGTCAGTTGTGCTGACAAATCTCATCTCAGTCATGCTGAGATGCCTCAGGCCCGGGTATTTGCTAGTCCTTAGGAAGCATCATTATTTCTAATGCTGCCCCCGGAATCCCCAGATGCACAAGTTGTTTTTCGTTGTACTTGGTGAGATGGATCTGCCTCCAATTCTTTACTTTTGTTTTTAAGACTCCGTACCACCACTGTGCAGTGGGTATCTTCCCAGCACAACCACTGTGCAGTTGTCACTCCCTTGCAATCAATTAAACACTCGGCTCTGGTTAAGGTGACATCAGTGTGGGTCGCTGTGCTTCTTTGGGGAGAGTGTGGGGGTGGAAACAGAGATCCTGAAAGTTTGCTGTGCTTGTCAGAAGACATCCAGGGGCGCTCTGTAGTTGTTCTGACTTCCTCTCTCTCCCTTGTCTCTAGGGATGACAAGTTATCAAAAATAAGCTCTGGAGAGTGATCCCATTGCATGTTTTATATTGTAACTTGACTGCGTAATAGCTCTGGCTTCTGTCATCCTCTATGCTGTAGAGGTCAGTACCTTCTATCCAAGCTATTCTCTAGTCCAAATGCTGCCTCTGGTACAGCTTTCCAAGCTGTTTTCTAGCTGTCCATCTCCCTGCTAGCATCACATAATTCCTGTCAATCACTGGCCTCACTCAGTTGCACCATCCTTTCCTCTGCAAAAATTGCGGTGGCTTAGTGGCTCCGAGGGCCTGAACCAAGTACTGAGCTCAGGCTGAACGGGCTGGGAACAGTCGCTAGGTGGCATCAGGAGAAGACGAAAAAGCTCCTGAAGGGAGGCTTTTTGGCTTGATAAGAGAAAACCAGAAGGAGCAGACTTTTGCAAAGGATGGGGTTGAGCTTTACCATAATTGTGAACCCTACAAACAGCATAGGTCATGCGGGCACTATGTGCCTATGGCAAGGGTCTTCTGCAGCGTCAGTACCAACCCTCCTATTTTCTCCCCTTTCTGGTGAGACTTGCCACTTCTTTCCCAATGCCCCTTTCTACTACCAGTATGGGTGCAGCTTCTTTATGGTCATAAGGGTTTGCAAAGCATTGCTAAGTTGCAGAGGTGAGTCTGCATCTCCTTTGTATTCTTGTGTTGAGAAGATTGCACCTTTTTGTCTGTTAATTGTCTGGGTAAAAGTCCCCTTTCTCCCACAGCTACTGATTATTTAGGGCTATTGAGGCATTTTCATTCCTCAGCACTTGTATTTTTATTATAAAGAGCAGACCAGTAATAGAGGCTGGTTCTAGCTACTCCTGTTTAAATTGCTGTGGGACCTGAATCCCATTCAGCCTTTCATCCTTGACAGAAAACTTACCTCTGGCATTTTCTCTCCCCTGGAATGGGAATCAAGGCCAGTACTGTAGTCCAGGAAGGCCTTAAAGCACCTGCCAACTAGTAACAAGTTCAAGCCTTCCACCCACCCTTGGTGAGTACAACAATGCCCAGGAGGGAAAGAGCTTCCTCAAACCTGTTACTAGCCTCCACGCAGCTAATTATTCCTTTTGTTTCTCTGAGCTCTCTCCAAATTTGTAAGTTCAGCGTGTGGCCAGTGATGAGAGCAGAAAGACAAGGCTATTTGCCATCCGAGTCGCACATACTCTGTCTATAGAGTTCTATATGTAGTTTCCAAGTCATTTCAAATCACTGTTCTTTACAGGCAGTTTCAAATACCTCAGTGCCTTGCAATAGGTGAAGACAGAGATCGGTGCCTGAATCAAGTGCTCATTAACAATACAGCAAGAAAGGGAGCAAGATTTTGTTCATCTATAGTTAGTTTCATCTGAGCAGCTCTTGAGCAGGACTGTTAAAAGTCACCCCTGTGTGAGAGCTGCTACCAGATCTGTGTGCCGTTTAATGCTGCTACAATGGTATTTGGCATGGCAGTCATCTGTCAGGCAATTGTGTCTACAGATTGATTATCTGTTCCACAAATGTATGTCTGAGCTGCACGATGCTGTGCCCAAGGATGCTGGGGACTGAAAAGAGACTGGCAATTTGGGTAATGCCCAACAGGAGAAAACTAATGGGGCCTCGTATAGAACTGAGCACTAAATACTCGAAAGCAGTCTTTACAGTGTCTCCAGGTGGGCAACTAAAAGACTTGAGTAACTTTTTCAGAGCTTTAGCTGGCTTTTGCCCAAGGCTAGTCGAGCAAGGCTGTTCGTAAGCAAAGATCCACAAAGATGCTGTTTGTCTAGACATGCTGCAGTCATGTTCCAGCATCTTATTAAGCTAGGAGCATACGAACAGGGGTAGGCTTTGTCCCAAGTAACGTACAATGTAGTATCAGCCAGAGCAGGTGGAGACAAGCGAGGGAACAGAGCCTGATGGGCTTTAGCACATCAATTGCTTAAGCCTCTTGGCGCCTTTTGAACTGTGTTAGACTCTGCTCTGTGCTTTACTCATTGAACTAACTCAATTTTTAGAAGTTCAGAAAAGGGCTTAAAAAAATTAAGAGAAATCTCTTGCCTGTATCTCTTGAGCCCTTTCAGCCAGTTAATTGGCCTGAGTGTCGCATTCATCCAGAGCTAATGTTATCGAGGCCTGGCTGAATTATTGATGGAGCTTGGCTGGAGCAAGAGACTGCTGAAGTAAGAATGACAATTCATCTTTCATCAGAGAACAGCAGCCTCGGTAAGCAAACAGTCAAAAAAGTAATAACTAGTGCCACCAAGTTCAGGAAGAGGAAAGTTCCTTTGATAAAATGGTGGGGGAAGAAGAGGGAAAAGTGTGGACAAAAGCATGAAACAGTAGCTCAGGTCTAGCAAAAGAGTCAGACAAAATGTTAAAAAATAAGATGAGAAATTTAACCAAGTCAAATACTGAGAAGTCTAGGTGATGCTTTTTCCTGGTCAGGATGGAGTTAAGTGCTTTTAAAATATACACCAGTGGTGAGGACGAGGGCTGGCTGGAGCAGGGACCTGAGGGCTGGCTGGAGCAGGGACCTCGTGGCTGCCCTTTCCTTGGTACTGATGAGATGCGCAGCAGCCCACGGCCTGGCATCTTCGGGAAGGAGTTTGCTTAACAAAGCTAATTCTGTGAGCCAGGAATAAGGGCAAGATGATGGATGCGATGACCGTGCATGTGTTTCACCCCGCTTCAGCTGTATGAGAGGAGTAACCAGAACCCTACACTATCTGGAGCACGTGAATTCCTGTTTAAAGCTCTCCCAGCTGAGCAGTCCCTTCTGCACTGCTGGCAGTCTCGCAGCCCCACATGTTAACATCCCCGGTGAGCTTTTTCTGACTGAATTCCCATAAGGCGCAGTGCTTATGCAGTCCCTCAGGAAATCCAAATGGTAAAGCAACATTTCTATCCAAGTCTTGTCCAGGCAATCTCGCCACCAACGGGACGAGTCTGGAGTAACAGAGGTCAGTTCATGTGTCAGTAGGCAGTAACCCCAGGCATCCTCAGCCTGCTTCACAGCCTGAAATGCCTCCTACTTGGAGCTGAGCAAAACATTTTCAGTGGAAAATAGAGGTGGTTTGAAATAGAAGCGTTTCATAGCAAGTAGTTATTTTTGAGGAAGATTTTTGGTGGAATAACTGAAATACTTAACTTTGCATGCACTTTGAAATAACAAAAGGTTTTGAGCATACCCCTGAAACGTTATGCTCGCCCTCCCTTCATCCTCCTGCAGTCCCTCTGGGGTCGACAGACAGAGAAGGCAGCACAACTCCCCCCGCTCCACCTCCCTAGAGAGCTGTAACAGGCTTGTAGTCGTGCGTGCTCTGACAGCAGCATCCCTGCGGTACTCCCCTCCTCCTCCCTGCACCTGCTCTGCAGCTCTTATCAGAGATGAGCGGGAGCAGGAGGCTCCAGCCCACGCTCACGCAGTCTCTTCCTTGGGTTTGTTAGATTAGTGCCGATGAAAAGCCGTGGCTGGAACGGCCACCTGCATGCTTCTCAGAGGCCCCTGGGGAGCGCAGTGCGAAGGAATACTGCAAGCCTGGCCTGATAAATGAGCTGTGATTTCAGGCCCATGAACAAATTGGTTTCCCCTTCCAGGAAGGCTCACAACTGTCAGCTGACTATTGCTTTATTTATTGCATTGGCCTTTGCAACTAGGGACTCTTGAGGGCAGAGAGAAAGGGTTCCAGTGACAGGAAAGCAGAAGCATTTGAACCCTTCCTTCAGCTGCAGCTGAGTGCCTCACCTTTGGGAACCAGACTTTGTTCTGGAAGCCCGATGCAATTCTGCTACGTTCTTCAAAACATGGTGATCTGATCCCAGACCAGGCAACAAACAGGCAGAAGACGGTAAATATCCAGGCAATTGAGAAATTATCTCATTCCTTAATGTGGCATTTGGTGCCAGACATAGTCTTAGCTTTTGTATTCCAGCAACGCCCAGTCTTCGCTGCTGTACAGACGCACTGAGGAGACATCAGAGACCTGTTTCTTGAAGGATAAAACCTCTGCCGTTACATGTTGCTTGTGCACCCTTCATCACAAAAAGATGGAGGTTGTCTTATGTGATTGTGTAAGCATATTCTGCCATACTTCTGAACCCACTCTGCACCTCTGCTGAAGCCACACTAACTGCGAGAGACAACATCCTCGGATAACCAGGCCTTTTCAAGTTAATGTATGCTGAACTCCCTTCTGGAGCATCCCCACCCTTACCAGGTTCCCATGGATGTGTTCACGGGTATGCTGATTTCAGATAGATCTACCCTCACCATGAAGTGGTAGAAACCCACTCAGACCACACTGAACTCTGGACAGAAGAGAGTATCAAGGAAGACGACTTCTAAAGGGGTGAGTCAGAAAACAGAGAGAGAAAGTGGTAAGAGGAAATCAAGGAAAGAATTGTTAGAAATGTTTATTCCTCCAAGGGAAGACCTTTAACCCTTCCTGTACAGCGATAAGCATTTAAAGGTTGGCAAAAAAATAATTGGGGCCGCCTTAAAGGTCAGCCATCCAAGGTGACAGGGAATAGGGAACAGTAGGAATGAAGAACAATCCTGGTGCTATATATTGAACTCTTTCCAGTTACTAAAAAGAGCAAATTTTACCACCACAGAGTTATTTTACTTCTTTTGGAAAAGGAGATGGTGCTATAGCCTATGATGGGGAGGTGGTCAGCAGTGGTGGCAGTAGAACCAGCAGGGTCTCTGCAAAGGGGCCAGAGGACCAGAGCTTGAGGAGGACAGACTAACGTAGGAGAAGCAGCACAAGGAATGTGAGGAAAGGGAAGGGCCCTAGGGAGGATGGAGGAATGTGAGGAAAAGACACATCTGATATTGAGGGATGCTGTAGCAGAGCCCAGAGGGAACTTGTTTGGATTTAGAGACCCAGTCCTACTGTGGGCACTAGAGTGTTAAGTGCTTTGATGTGTCCCTATTCCCTTCCCTCCCAGGGTAGTGGTACAGGTTTTGGCTGTGCTGTGCTCGTCAGCAGGGCCACAGGTTTGGTGCTGGTGTATCTGGCAGAAACTGTCTCCAAAGCCAACCCCCTAAAGGGTAACAGTTATTTTATTACTGCCCTTTAATTCCAGGACAGATTCACGGCAGCCTGGTCACTGTTTACATCCCTGTGGGCCTCCCCAGAAGCTGATCTCTGGCTCAGCACATCATCCCTTTTTTCGCAGAAGAGCCTTGTCACGCTTGTGACCCCATTCGCTCAATGAAGCATTGTAGAAAACAGCCCATTCAGAAGGCAAAGCTGCAAACAAAACCATATTTATCAGAACAAGCAGTTTGGTTAGACCAGATGGCCCCCAGCATGGAGACCTGGCTGCACTGCTTCTGCTGTCTGTCTAGCTTTTGGGCTAGTAGGCCCACGAGGTTTAGTCCTGCCTCATCACCACCAGTATGGGATTCACCTTCTGCCTGCCTGTCAGCCCAGGCACATCTCACGCTCACAGGTACCTGCCCTTTGTTCCTCTTGAGCAATCAAGTGTGCTTTCTCCATTTGCTATTCTCCCACTTTCACCTCTCCTGGAGCAGATCGGCTGCGGGTCATTTGGCAAGTCCCTGTGATTTGTCTGCTTGCTGGTGCCTGGTACTTCACTGCTCTGTCTCAAGCCGCAGGCTGGCTGGGAAGCGTTTGACAGAATCCATTACGAAGGGCTAACGCAGCAATTCTGATAAACTAGCAAGATCAGTTTAAAAGGAAACAGATAATGTTTCATCTGAAAGTAGTGCATGGAAGCCAGCTCTCGCAAGGCAGGGGTGAGAAACAATGAGGTTACAAAGTTTTCCGAGGAAAATTCATTTCTAGAAATTGCTAGATTTTCCCCACAAGTCCGTATGACTCAGAAAATGTTTCTTCTTTGCATCTTTCAGTGAGGGAATCCAGCATTTCTTTTCAAATATGGATGGAAGTGATGGCATCTTTTCCCTCAAGAGCATCCAGGGTGGTGTCACTGGCATTAGGAGCTGGATTATTTGCAGGCAAAGTTTCATCATGCTGTTTCCAGGAGCTATAATGCTGGTAAGCATAGAAGTGGGGAACAGGTTTTTCTGCCTTCTGTTCTTAGTTCTGCCACAGTATCCCCTTGGCCAAGTCACCTCCCCGTGGTTGGTTTTTTTTACGTGCTAAATTAGGATAACAATTTACCTTTTGACTGTCGTTTGTTAGGGTCAGAAGAGGACTTGCCCTAAGGTGAGTGCTTCTGGAGAAAGGGCTACTGGTGAGATGGGATCTTAGCTCTGTCTCTGCATCTCACATGTGACACTGGATGCCATCCCAGTGTGATGGGGACAATGCAAAGCAGACAGCAGTGCTTAACAGCACCTTCTGCTGGCCCACAAACCAATCTCACTGGTGGGACAGCCTTTTGGGCAAAGGGAGAAGCATTATTGCCTACTGCTAAGCAGAGATTGGAAATGGTAGGAACTCAGTCCAAGCAGCCAGTACCGGCATACCATGAGCCTTTTTCTAAAGCCTCACGGAGCAGAGCAGCTCCAGCTCTGACCACCTTTTCAGTACTTTGTTTTCCCTGTAATACATTTAAACCCAACATCTCTAAGTCAGGATTCACTGTCTTGACTTATACCTCTGGGTAGGTTCAAGATGTACTGAAGTGATACTAGGAACAAAAGCTAGTAAAACAAAAACCCTCAACTGGCTTCCGGGTAGTCTTACATACATTTGCAAGACAGATTATATTACTGCATAGCTGCAGCCTGTGTCCCTGTGTTCCCGTACAGGGAAAGCCAGGCATATTGGCATTCCACAGCGAGATGCACAACTGCAGAGATACAGATCCAAATACCCCTAGAGTCTGGAGCTGTTTGGACACACAGGCCGAGGGTCCAAGCCCATATCTAAGTGCTGGTGGCCAGAAGTTTTACCTCTTCCCTCTGAATCATCCAGCATTGGCCAGAGGTCTGTGCAAGCTGGTGGCCTATTCTATCCAACATTATGTTCCCAAGCAGAATTCAGCTAACTAGGAGAGGTACAGACAGTGCCTACAATTTCTTAAAGTGAAGAAACAGCATGTTACTGGAGAGTCCCAAACCTTTGCTTCCTCAGTCTCTGCAGGTCTGGCACATGGAAAGCACAGAGGCACTGAAGTATCCCACTCAAGCAGCCAAGTGTTAACAACCTCTCCAAAGTCTAATTTGCCTTTGATATAGACTTAATTGTTTGCGTCACCCACTGGGCTAGGGGGAGGGCTATAAAAGGGGCTGCAGCCATTGTCTGAGGCAGAAGAGAGCCCAGAAGCAGCTCCCTCTCCCAGTCTTCCTCATTCAGCACAGGAGTCACAGCCTGTGCATCATGCAGCTGGTGGCCAGCCTGGTGTCCATTCTGCTGCTGGTGTGGAGCGTGAGAGCCACTGCACTGCCTGGAGAAGAGAGACTCGCAATACAGAACGCTAGGGTGAGTATAATGCACCCTGTGCAGGAGCTGGGTGAGGTGGGAGCACGAAGAAGCAGGCTGGAGCCAGGGGAGGGGTAATAAGGGCAATTAGGCTTTACCTGATGCAAACAACTCTTCCACCCCTCTCTATTCCAAGGCGCTACAGCTTCATGCACTGCTGAAGCACAGGCTATCGCTACAGCTTACTAGCCAGTTTATTTAGGAAAGGTATTAGGGCAGATGCCAGAGAGCTGCAAAAGTGAAGTCTGAGCTAAGCAAAAACTGTCAAAAAGAAGAGAGCAAAAAGGGGAGGCAAAAGGAGAAAATAATATTTCTGAAAGAGTGTAGCATGAGAGAATAAAGCGGAGTACTAGCGAGGGAGAGAAAAGATACGTAATTGGTAAAATGATCAAGGGAGATGATATTTTAAATAGGACTCATGGGAAGGACAAATGTTTAAAAGATGGGTTCAGTAGGAAAGTAACAGAGGAATAATAAATGAAGTAATTATATCAGAATAAAATTGCTTTTTCCAGAGTAGTATTCACAAGGGGAGTTATACTGACATAGTTCTGCTAGAATAATTACAATCTGAACCAGCACAGCTCTATGCAGTGGCAGAACTTATTATAGCAATATAATTATCCTACCAACTGGCAAAACTCTAATATTATAATGGCTATAGCACTATAATAACTTTGTTTTGCTGGACTATTTCCCTAAGAGGCCAAAGGGATAGGAAGCAATAGCATAACATAATCTCAAGCAAGTACTCTGTTCTGCTTGCCCTTGCCCCACAGTTGTCTCACCTGCATGTTCCTTGCCATCCCTGAGGTTCCTCTGAGCTGTGGTTAGTCACCCCGCGCTCTGCCAGCCCGGTTCACAGCTGTATCCGTACAGCTGCTGTTATTTCGGTCCTGCAGAGGAGCTACCCAGAGAAGTGAGGGATCCCAGTGTTGGTTTCAAAGGCACTAACTTCTCCTTTGTGCGTATTCACATCGTTTTTTCTGTCTTAGCATTGGCTCCAGCTCATCCATCAGTGTCTTACTGCTTCAGGAGTGGGCTCACATCCCATTAACAACAGAACTGGCTGTGAGAAAGAAACGTATATAGTGTGAGGTGCTAGGGCTAGCATTCTGTTAGAGATCAGGGCTTCTGCAGCTGGCTGGGATTAACCCTTCTGGGGATAACTGTAAACTTTCAGCTGTACGTTCTTACAATAACAAATCCGGTACTTAAAAAGTAAACTCCTGCTGGTGCCAATCCTAGCTGCTGGGGAAAAAAGAAACAAGTTGTAGGGAATAAATCAGTAAATAAGGCTTTGGTGAAAATGAATTCAAGTGTAATGACTCTTAGTCTTCTACACACTGTTGCTTACAAAATAATTATATAATTATGACAGACATAATGATTCTCTTTAGAGCATTCTACAAACCAAAAAATAGTTAGATACTAATGAACCAATCCCTACAGCCAGCACTGCTGTAACTCAGACAAATGTTTTAAGTATGAATAATATTGGGATTTTACATATAACCCACCATAAAATGTGTAACAATGCAAAAGAAAGATCTACACGTTCTGATGCACCGGTGGATGTAGTACAGGGAATTGAGCAGCAACTCAAAGGTGTGCCACAACCCACCCGTGCTAAGATCTCTAGCTGCTGCCAGAGTGCCTTGATCTCTTGTAGCTCGGGAACAGCTATAAGTGGAAAGGATGTTGGCAACAGATTAGTGCAGGGGAAGAGCTGCCTAGTTTCACTAACAGCCACAGCCGATCAGGCGTAAGGAATATCCCCTAACAGCAGGCTGAGCTTTGCCTTCCCCACCCCTGAGTCTGAAGCTGCTGGCTCTGCTTGGAACAGGTTATTTCAAAACAGCACTTACAGCTACGAAAGAGGCTTACGAGGAAGACGTGACCCAGGTGACACATTTAGCTGGGTTCCCCAGTCCTGCTCCATCTCCCAAAGGCTCAAGGCATTTCTGTACTTGCAACACAGGAGTAGGAATTGGAACGGGCACAAGCTGGCTTTTATCTTTTCTCCTGCTACAAACATATCATGTAATTTTTCTGTGCCTCAGTTTCTCTGGTGTGGAAGCAGGGTTAGTTAATAAAGCTAAGAACATGATTAAAAATAGCCATAAACATTCTGTAAAGTAAACTCAAAAAATAATCGCCGCTACCTGTATTTATCCATCTTTTGAGTTGCTCACCAAGTGGTCCTTAGCGAATGCCAGTGCTGACAGCGCCAGTGGATAGATACAGCAGTCCCAGCAGTAAACATGGCATTTGTGAGGAGTGATGTGGAAATCTGCTTCCAACATTCCCATCTGCATGGGAAACAGGATCTGTTCCTGTCAAACCATCTATCCCAGCTTGTCCAGTACCAGCTGTCTGTGCTAATGAGTCACAGAGACCAGGAATACTCAGGCAAGAGGTAATTCCTCATATTTGCTGGATGTGAAGTGAAGAGAAACAAGATAACTCACAGCTTGTTACTGATGGAAATCCCTCACGCCCCAAACCACAGGCTGTGCTCTTTCGTATACTGCTATGGCAAAGGGATGGAGCTCCGCAGCTCCTCTTTTATTCTGCCTTCCCCCAAGGTCAGGCTATTGAAATACCGGTTCTTGTTCTTGAAATACAAGCTGCCTGTCCCCACTGATTAAATATTTTGCACCAGATACTTAGGGTGTCTCTCTCCCCACCAACCCAGCCCTCTCCTTTGTCACATTTCATTCTCAGCATTTTACGGAGGGTTGCAGCCCCTGGTGCGCTTAATTTAATATTGCTCAGGACTCTGTGCCTCTTCCCTGACCTTCCCACAGCGGACGCTGGGCAGTCAGAGCAGTGAAGGGAGCACGGGCTTATGAGGAGAGAAGGCAGTTTGGCATTCAATGAAATTTAATTAGCGCAGGCAGCAAGGGACTTTATAGCCAATTCATGCCTATTTGTTAGCAGCTCTTTTCCAGTTATAACGGCATGTGTGCCTCTCCCTGTCCAGCCGGCTGGGCTGGATGGGAGACAGGAGAAGGAAGGAGTGATCTCTGCAGCCACAGATTCCTCAGCTCCAGCACAGCTCTGCTGATGGGAAAAGCATCAGCTCCTCAGACAGGGCACTGGGGGAGGCAGGGAATCGAGAAGTGACCCCACAAGAGGATGTTTGCCTCCACAGCCATGGGGGACAGGGCTCCATCCGTCACTTTCCCTTGCTCTCTGCCCGCAGGAACAGAGCACAGTCCGGAAAGATGCCATCCTGAAGATGCTGGCAGGCCTGCTGGACAGCGTGGACACGGGGCGCGAGGCGGCCTCCCCGGATGTGGAAGAGGAGGGCAAGCTGGAGGAGGAGCGGGCGGTGCTGGGGCGGCTCGCCCAGCTATCGCAGAGGGACCGCAAGGCCCCCTGCAAAAACTTCTTCTGGAAAACCTTCACCTCCTGCTAGTGCCGCCCGGCCTGGCCCCGCTGGGCCACCGGCCCTCAAACACCCTCCCCTCCCTCGGCTGCCCTGTCCCCCGAGCTCCCTTCCTTTTCTTCTCCACCCCTGAGAATAAAGCATGGCGCCTCGGGGACTCGTCTCTGCCTCTCTGCTCCCCGCCGGGCCGGGGTGGGGTGGGCCGGGCTGCACCGGGGAAGGCGGGCGGGCCTGGCCGGGGGCAGCCGTTGGAGGTGGCGGCCAGCTCGTGGGGGGCGCGGTGGGAGCAGGGGTGCAGCCGCCCTTAAAGGTGCTGAAGCTGCCCCCTCGTCCTCTGAGGGACCAGGTAGGTGTGCGCATCCCCGCTGTGCCAAGGTGGGAGGGTGAGGTGAGGCCCAGGCACTGGGCAGCATGGCTTGTGTCCCGTGGGGAGGGCACTCTGTGCTAGCCCCCAGTAGGGATAAGGTGCCATGCTGTGATCTGGAGAGGATGGTTTGGTCCCAGGCACGTGGGTGAGCGGCCCCTTGTGCCCCTTTCCAGGCGGGTGCTGACAGGGGTGGCTGAGGGAAGCACGGAGGCAGTGCTCCATACGTGGGAGGTGCAGGGGCATTGCCGGGGGGTGCTGAGGGGGTGAGACGGGGAGACGGGCCCCGAGCCCGGCCCTGGGCCGCATTTGGTTTGAGAGCAGGTATCTGCAGTTCCCGGGTGCTCTGGGGCTGCATGTGCATCTACAGTGCTGGGATCTGCATCTGAAACTGATTAAAATAAACCGGCTCTGATCCCGGGGCCAACAGCTCGGGCTCTGCTCTGGTTGTCTCATGGTTTCTTGGTGTCTTGCCATCTTGCTTAAAAAAAAAAAACCCAAAATGAAACACCTGTTTTCTCTTACTCATCTTCTTGGGTGTCATTTGCTGTCTGCAGAGTAGTAGGGCCTGTTTTATTTCTTTTGGCTTACTGAGGAGCTTTTTGAAGCATCGTTTTAGAACTACAGCAAATGCAGAGGTATGAAAGGTAGATGTATTTGAGTTCAGCACAGATATTCCCTTCTAAAGGAGACTGCTGAGGCCTTGCTCTCACGTGCTAGCAAAAAAAAAAAAAAAAAGGTAGGAAATTCACTTGCTGTGTTTGCTTTAATTCTTAGCATTAACAAGTTGAGTCTCAGAGCTATATGACATTGCTGGGAATGACCACACAAAATAGCAGACCAGCTGTATCTTATTGAGCCTGTCTCCAAGGCCTGACTGGCCACTGGTGAGAACTGGAAGGTAGTTATTTGTAGTGGCTTGCTTTTGAACCTTTACATTTTGTTTTTGGAGGCCAGTGACCATGAGGTCTGTCATCTCAACAGCAGCATTTTGGATTAATCAGCAGCCAGCCTGTTTTCTTACAGTTGAAGTAACGCGTCCAACTCCCCAGCTCTCCCTGGATAATGAGTGATACAACCACTCCAGCACCTAGATGGTCTGGCTTGCTGCTGCCACTTTGCTCTGCGTCAGGCTGCATTTTCACTGCCTCGTTTGCCATAGAAATTTCTGGCTGTGTGTCTCTGGCTTGCAGGAGGAGTTAGAGCCCTGTGGCTTGTTTTATTTTTCACTCCATAATGAAAAATAAGATCATTGCTGGGTCAACTCAGCGACTCAGTATATGGGTAATGGGATATGGAGCTTTCCGGCTGTGTTCCCTGGAGCACCCAGCCTAAGACACAGGAGAATTGGTTTTATGCCTCACTTGGCTGCTGGCATTCACATTTTATCATTACCTCCCTTTCAATACCTCAGTTTCCCTGTCTTTAAAATGGGGTGATAGCTCTTTAATCCTTTTACAATTTTTCTTAAGATAGGTGGGTGACAAGTGCTGTCAAGATGTAATTATAGCCGTTATTGTTACTAAAACCTGTGTAGCAGTGTGAGACCAACCAGGAAGAAGTGTTCTCGTAAGAGTTGCCTTATTATCCACCATTAAATTTTGTCTGTGATAATAGTGTTCAAGACAATGTGTACTGAGAATGAGAAACCCCAGAGCACGTGGACATAGAGATTGCCCCTAACAGAGACTGCCTGTTCAGCAAACTGTGTATGCTGTATTATTTAGTGGTTCCTGGAGGAGAAAGTAGTCCAGCTACTCTCAAGGTTGGAAGTAAATTTGGAAGTTGAACTCTTCTTTCATCCCTACAGATGGTTCCTGCTAGTGGAGGCTGAGGCACACTGGCTGAGCACCAAGCAGGAAGTCTGCACCGCCAGCGCACGTGCTGTGGATAGGGGCCAGCACAGTTGAGGCAGCTTCTTTCATCAGTGCTGAAATCAATGTTTGAGTTGGATTTAATTTTGCTGTTTCCTTGGTAAGTCAATGTGCTGAGGCTGAAGCAATGTGAGATCCTGCCTAGTGACAGCATTTAATATTAGGGAGTGTAGCATGATAAATCATTTCAGTGGGAGGGACTTAACAAAGGGTTATAAATAACGTGTCATATATGGGCATTTTCTATTTAAATTTTCACAAAAGAATTGTGAGTCTTATAATGGTACATATCAAGTAGAAGGGAATGAGAGTATGTTTTTTCTTTTTTAGATGGAATAGCCAATGTGTTTTAAAATCTTGTCACAGCTCAGAATAATTGTATGTGTGTATGAGCAAATGGATAATACCTATGAACAATCTCCAGATTTTTAAATAAGTGAAAAAGAGACATTAAAAAGTAAAAATGATGCCAGAAGGCAAACTTTTAGAGTCAGCTAGCACACATAGTGTTGACCTCACCTAATTCAATACACGGTCCAGTGGTATTTTTTTTACTTTTTTATTTTTTAACCTCAAGCTAGCTCATGCTTATGCATCAAGCTGCAGGCAAATGGAGAAATTATCATGGGGACAAGCTCAGCTGTGAACCTACAGTGTATTCAGTACCCAGGGGAAACTCCATTTGTGCTTATCCTATCCCATGATATACGTGAAGTAGTCCGAGGCAGCTTATTGCTCAATGAAAACAGAGTAAATCTCATTTACTCTGAGATCAAAGCATGTGCATATGTGGGCAGATACGACAGAGGAATTAGGGAGGTACTAAATTTCAGATCACTTCCACGGTGACTTGTTTGTACGTGCTTTTAGTAGTGAAGATCTTGTTTTATTATATACTGTCAGGTAAGCTAGCAGGGAATCAATACTTCACTGTGTGCATTTTCAGCCTCAAACAAAGGAGAGAGTTGCAATCTGACTAGACTTCACAAAGATGCTGTCTGTCTGCAGGTAGCTGGCAAATGGAGTTAAATTTAGAGGGAACACAACAGTACTGCTTAGTCTATGTTTGTCATTCTCAAATGATGTGGGGCCTGTGAGGCACCTTTAGCATTGATTACAGCTACAGAAAATAAAGGTTAAACCTAGTATTGCAGGGAGAATGAAGTATAGGGTTGCACAGGGTGTCTTTTGTCTTATGTTGTTATCATGTTTGGCTCTACTCAGAAACACTAAACGTGTTTGAAAAGCAGTGAGTCCATTAATTTAAAATAAAGTGGGTTTGCACTAAAGGAGAATCTTTTCTTCACGGAGTCAAGTTAATTCTGCTGTTGCTTTTGGTCATAGATTAGTGTAGTGGCTCATAGAATGTGTTCTGACAGGCCGGTTGGTTTTGACAACCTTCATCTGATAAGTTGGTGGTTTAGATAGTAACAAACTTGACAACATCCCTGTGACACAGAAGCTCTGCTTTTATTTATCTTTCTTGGTAGTATGGGCTAGGCGATTTGCCTTGGGCTTGGTGGTGGGAGATAGTGATCCAAGAGACATTGCTCTGTGTCTTGTTCTAACCATGATGCCACATGTACATCTCTCTGCCTGTGGCTCTGCTGACTTTCCTGCCATACTCAGTTTTGTTGAGTGGAAGAATAACACAGGTCAAATCAGGCATTTGTTCACTGTCTGTTACTCACTGTAAATAGTTTGTTCAGTGACCTTGTTCTCTGAGCTCTGAAAGCCTCTCTTACTTGTGAAGTAGGCTTTGAAGATTTAACTTCAGTTAGTTCTCTGAGCTCCCGTGTTCACAAACCCCTCAGCAATAGCAGGCTGTAAATGCATTTTATATTCCATGGAGCGTGCTCAGTGAAAGAAGCTATTACCTTGACCATTCAGAATGTACAGTAGCTTCATGTAAGACGTGCAGCATAGGAAATCCTGAGTACAAATGACCTCTTGGTGAATTGGGAGGATGTCTTACGCAGTGGATTTTTCCTGTCTTTGCTGAACCCTGATAGAACTTGCAAGGATTTGAGAGGAGGGTGACAGGGAGGGAGGGGGAGCTGCCAGAGCATTGTAGTTTTTGTAGACTAGGTCAGAAGGACAGGCAGTGTTTATGTGTTGTGCTTTGTGGGGAAACTGCAGCGTGCAGGTCTGTATGCTGTAAATGCCTGAGAGAGGGGAAATCAGAAGGTGTTCTCTACTGTTCCAACAAGGATTTAAGAGGTGTTGCTTTTCTTCAGAGATTCATAAGGAGTTACAGTCAGGGTTACCACTAAGGTAGTAGATGATAAATGCAGGTAGGTAAAAATCAATTATCTGGAGGCACACAGAAAACTGGGACTTGTCAGCGTAGGGGAACTTTCAGAATTAAGATTCTGCCAGAATGTTACTGCAGAATATCTGTTGTGGTTAAAGTTGCTTTCTATTTCATAATAATCACTGAGCCTTTAAAGCAGGAAATATTTGGGAGTCAAGGGGACTGTCACGTAAGCAAGACAGGAGCTAAAGGAGAAGAGCACACTGCTGTTAATCACCTTGTGTGAATAAGCCCTTTGCAAAAATCTGGGAATACAACCAGAGACTCTAGAAGCTATCAGCCTGTAACCCAGACTGCTGAGGAGCAGCTGTACCCCATGCAAAGGGACATCAGTTTACCTGTGCTGAGCCTGTGAGCCTTCTCTAACAGACGTGTCTGATCTGTGCCTCCCCCTTTGCTGACTCCAGCACCTTTGGAGCTGACTGAGCTCTCACTCTTAGATTTGTATCTCATTTTGCAGTCTTGGGAGGGAGGTACC